AACTATTAAGAAATAAACAAACAACCATTTAATCCGACCACCTTAGACGTATGATTTTAGACATTGGCTATAACACACGATTGGTGTGAATACATCTAGAAGGACAGCAAATGATAACACATAAAGACGTAATAAACGTTGGAGCCCACGTGGATATTATAAAGTCAACATTGGGTGGCCGCCATTCCAGTCAAACAACTTTCGGGATGTCCTTTTAATCATTATCACTTTCTATTTCCAGTTTTTAATGCAAAAGAATTTACTGAAATTTCATGTCGGATACAAACAAAATTATTTATTATGATTTTAAATTAACCATAAAATATTAAATTAATTTTTGCATTATTTAACCATTGTATAACTCTTTTTTTAAATTAATCTGGATATTCAATCCGTTATATGAGCTGACTAATTTCAAAACAATCACATGTTTTGTAGGTAGTCTGAAGTCAAGACGATCACATTTAACAAAGTACAAGATTCGTCAATACATCTTAATAATTTGCAGCAGAAATACATAGTTGAGAATTATTACAAACCAATGATCAACAGATTCTTCAAAATTTCTCCAAAATAAAGAAACAAATATTATAATCTTTAAAAATTTAAGTTTAAAGTTTCCAATTGGTGATCTCACTTTGGTAATCATTTTTTGGGTTAACTCCATATTTGGAGACAATAATTCTTCTCTCTCCTACTTTCTCCATATTAGAGATAGTTTTGGGTAAGCTCTTAGAGTAAAAAAAATATTGGCTCAAACCCCCCCCCCCCCCCCCCCCGTTTCTCTATTTTGGAGAAGCTATTGAAGATGCTCTAAGCCAACTTGCTAACGCCACTAGAATCGCATCTTCCTTTCCCTTTTGAAAGCGAGGGTTAGACCATTAGGTCTAGTGAATTTCGTTCATCATATTTCAGCAATTAAAAACGACGGTAAAGATGATAAACCAACAATGAAAATAAATCATACTCAATTAACATTAGACTACATTCCATCATACGTAGGGAAGAGGCCACGGTACAATCACGACGATCGTGTTCGTGATAGTGCCCCTGGTAGGATTGCCGAGAAGGGGTAAAACCCGATTTTCAACTCTTTCTTTCAATTTATCTCTCAAACCTACCTTTCTGGGCTCTTTATGGAATGCAATTGGGAAACCCTCCTAGGTCAAAATTCGGTCCTCTTCGGATATTTATTACCTTCCAAGGTTGAAGAGTACATGTTTATATCAAGATTCAAGTTCATCACCTCTATTTTTAGAGTTCTGTTTGGTTCTCTAGGTTTTCTCCAAAAACCCAGCAAGTGAGTTTTAAATGTTTTGTAAAATCGGATACATGCCTAAATGTGTTCTTTAATGCCATTACAAGATGTACTTTCAAGCATCACACAACTATTTGGTGAATTGATCTCATACTCATATTTGATGAAGTTTTATACATTTTTGGGCAGATCTTCATATTGAGCTCATATTAATGGATCCTTGTGTGCTAAATGCCTTTTTTTTATTAACCTGAATATCCAACCCGCTATGTGAGCCGACTAATCCCAGGGCGACCACCTGCTTTGCAGATAGCCTGGAGTCACCGCATTTGAACCTCCGTGGCCACAAGGGGATTTTTATTCCTCATTGGATTTGAACCTAGGACCTCCAGGTACTTTTTGACATTTGGAGCCAAGCTCAAATCAATCAGGATGGTTTTTGGTTCATCATTTTGATATTGTTATGAGAAATGATAATTGTTGGGATTTTGACCTAAGGTTGAGATTTTGTCTATAAATGCTAGTCTTATGAGCTTGAACGATTTTATGATGGTACTTGGTAACTTATCGGGCTTAATAAATGAAAGAGTATATAAATGTTGATTAGTTGGTTATTCTCATTAAGTTAAATGTTTGGATGAAGCTTTCCAAGTAGCCACTAGGAGGGTTGAGTCTTGAGGTGTTACCCTCGTGGTAGACACTAAGATCTTCGCCTCTTGAGATGTTACCTTTGAGGTAGACGCTAAGTCTGCCGATCCCTGAGGTGGAATTCACAAGAATAGACACTAAGGACAACCGACTCTTGATGTGAAACCTGTTAAGTAGTTGTTATGACACTTAGACGGTAAGTCTTGAAGTGTTGGTATAGGCTGTGTTAGACAGTTTGAGTGTATTTCTAAAAAAGTTGATTATATTAAAATAACAGTATCAAATGTTTTCAACTTCGATGCTGTTTTTACTTTGAGTTTGTTCATGTTGTCTTTTATTGAAAAAAACAAATGCTCATTGGAGGATTGGATTATTAGGAGTGTTGGAGTACTTAATGGACTACGTACACGCGCTTATTAGTAGACATTTTATAATTGATAATATGGATTTTATAATTTATTATAATTTTGTCGAGTTTTGCAGGTTGATTCTGTTTGACACGGATCTAAGCCATAACCAGACCTTACTGGCATCGGTTTGTAGATTCATAAACAAATTAGACTCACGTTAGGTTGAGTTAGGTTGGTCAGTTTATTTTTCAGGTTGGATTGAGCAAGTTAGTGGTTTCGCCAATTCTTGAAGCACCCCTACTTTGGTTTAAAAACTATGACAGATCACGGATTACATTCGACAGTCGTTGTCGGTTTTGACCAAAAACCACTTCAGTTTTCTTCAAGTCAAACGATGTTTAGCGTAAGCAAGCCTGGATGTTCGATGTTTGACTTGGTCCTATTGACTCCCATTCCTTTTTTCCCGTTTGACCTTTAGTCCAAATTCGATCTTTCATTATTTTTGTGCATCCATGGTCACAAATTAACAACACATCTAAATATCAGAAGTTACTTATGAATTTTAATGGTTAATAATAATATAATATTTTGGACTTGGACAATATATTTATTTTAAGATACTAGAAACATACTCTCGCAATGCAGCGATATATATTTCGTTTTATTATTTATCTTCGTGATTTTATAAAACAGTTTTATATGGTTTTGAGAAAACGATAATGTTTTTATGTTTGAATAAATATAAATTTAAAGACCCTATAATTTTTTTTATCAATATTAGTATCAGATTAAAAATTTTAAAAGTTCACATTTTTATGCTTTTTTTATTATAATTTAATTTAGGTTTAATAATGTAGCATTTTTTTTATAAAGAGAATTTTTAGTTCAATTTTTTTTATTATAATTTAATCTAGGTTTAATAATATAATTGTTTTATAAAGATAATAATTAAGTATTTTGCAAAAACTCAATAATTATCCTAATTATATATTAAATTCTTTATATTTAAAGTGAGATGTTTATCAAGTATTTTATTATGTTTATCTGCAGTTAATTACAAATTCAAACATGTAGATTTAATAAGTTGTACTTATGCTTAATCAACTTGCAATCTTGAATTTTAAGTTATATGCATTAATAAGCGATACTTATTGCATAAAAAATAATTTTTAAGAGTTATCGTAAATGCTTTATAATAATGCATCAAATACTGTTTAATGATATATATTACTTGAAATTCAAGATTACAAGTAAATGGTGCATGAGTACGACTCTTAAATATATTTTTTTGATTAACCTGGATATCCAACCCGCTATGCAAGCCGACTAATCCCAGGCGACCACCTGCTTTGCAGATAGCCCAAAGTCACCGCATTTGAACCTCCATGGCCACAAGGGGATTTATATTCCTCCTTGGATTTGAACCTGAGACCTCCTGGTACCTTTGACATTTGGAGTCAAACTCAAACCAATCAGACACCACCCTTGTGGTTTAAATATTCAAATTAGAGACCTAATGAGAAGGAATTGCAGATTTGCAATCATAATCAGGAATCTAAAAATTGGCAAATCTTGGAGGGATAAAATCTGGGCATTGTACTAAATTGCTAAAAAGTTATAATTGTCCAAATGAACTAATTGCTAAAAACACAATAATTGTATTAAAGGACTAAGAGCTTGTTTGTTAGCAACTTAATGAGCTTAATGAGACTCACAACTTATTCAGCCAACTATACACACTACAAAACAAATGACTTTTACCCACAAAAATCACCCAAGAAAATTTTCGTTCGTGATTACCGACGAATCACCACGAAAATAACAATGGTTCCGGTAGAATCCGATGTTTTTCAAGAAAATACTAACGGATCACCCAAAAATACCTAATTAATCCGTCATTGATTTGAGTTCCTCACCAACAATTTACCCACACATTTTTGTGACGGTTGTGACAAATCATCCATTTAGCGACTAATTTCCTAGGGAAAAGTCTATTGGTAAAAGTCTTCAATTTACTAGTGACATGACTGTCTAGTAGTAGCTTAATGATATAGAAAGTACGTTATTGAGTAAACTTTCAGGAGGAAGCTTTACGTAGAATACCAAGTTTTTTTTTTTTTTCCAAACTTACCCCTTCCATTTAAAAATATTCACTCATTTCTTCTATAAAAAAATCCTTCTAAATAATCTTCTCAATCCATACAGATAAATTAATTCATACAAACAACTTTATCCATACATAAATTAAAAATAAAATAAATACATAAATATTAAAACAGCTCCAAAAAAAAATTAGAAGCATCGTTAATGCATGTTTGGACACAAGCTTGGTCAATTAAATTTGGAGTTATTAAAAGAGTAACATAAATTTGGATTTATAAAAGGAAAATAAACCATAAGGGTGGTACCTCATTGGTTTGAGTTTGATTTCAGAGGTCAAAAGTACCAGAAGGTTCCAGGTTCAAATCAAGGAGAAATAAAAATCCGTTTATGGTCACGGAAGTTCAAATACGAAGACTTTGGACTATCTGCAAAACATATGGTCGTATTGGGAGTAGTCGGATCGCATAACGGGTTTGATATCCGGGTTAATTAAAATAAATGGAAATTAAAAAATATCCCGAGAGGGGCGTGTTGGAAGGTTCGTGTTAGATATTGCTTCAAACATGTGAACTTTGAAACTTGTCTACCTGATAACACCAAATGTCTCCTCTTCCGTTCCCACTCCCATTTCCATCCCTGCAAACACGTTTTCACCCAATAAACAATTCTTTCCTCCATCATCTCCTCTTCCTCAGGCCGCCGGCATGTCGTCGGAACCAATCTCCGGCCATCACCTCGTCCTTCTATCTCTTCTTTGCTTGGTATGTCACTCTTCTTCCCAATCTGACCAGCTTCAACCTCTTCTAAAATTCAAATCTGCTCTCTCAAATTCTAACTCACAAGTGTTTAAAACATGGAACGGAGAAACCCCCATCTGCAACTTCACGGGGATTGTCTGTGGTTCTGATGATTCCGTCAAAGAAATCAATCTTTCGCAGCAACAACTCGTGGGGACTCTTCCGTTTGATTCGATTTGTTCTCTGCAATCACTCGAGAAAATCTCTCTTGGAACAAATCTTTTGTATGGTAATATCAGTAACCACTTATCGAATTGCACCCACTTACAGTACCTAGATTTGGGACAGAATTTCTTCTCCGGCGAAGTCCCGGATTTATCTCCGTTAACCCAGCTCAAGTTCTTGAACTTAAACCTCAGTGGTTTTTCCGGGAAATTTCCATGGAAATCGCTCGAAAATCTTACTGGACTTGCTTTCTTGAGTTTAGGAGACAACCCGTTTGATAAAAGTCCTTTTCCTTTGGAAGTATTAAAGCTTCAGAAGCTATACTCTCTTTACCTTTCAAACTGTAGCATTGAAGGGAAAATACCGGAAGAAATTGGAAACCTCACCCTGTTAGAAAGTTTTGAGCTGTCCGATAACTACTTGGTCGGAGAGATTCCGGTGGGAATCACGAAGCTTACAAAGCTTCAGATGCTTGAGCTCTACAACAATGAACTTTCTGGGATTCTTCCGGGTGGGTTCAGGAACCTCGTAAATCTTTCATGGTTTGATGTTTCGAATAACAGTCTTGAAGGTGATCTTTCGGAGTTACGGAGCCTGACTAAAATGGAATCTCTACAGTTGTTTGAAAACAGTTTTCACGGTACAATCCCTGAAGAATTCGGAGAATTCAAATTTCTAACGCAATTTTCGATCTATGATAACAAGTTCACCGGAGAACTCCCTGCAAGAATTGGGTCTTGGGCTAATTTTCAATACATAGATGTATCAGAGAACTTTTTGACTGGTTCGATTCCACCGGACATGTGCAAAATGGGGAAAATGGAAAAGTTTTTGATGCTTGAGAACAATTTCACAGGCGGGTTGCCGGAGAATTATGCCGGCTGCTCTTCCTTGCTTCGGTTGAGAGTGAGTAATAATTCACTTTCCGGCAGAGTTCCAGATGGGATTTGGAGTTTGCCCAATTTAAGAATGATTGATCTTGCACTGAATCAGTTTGAGGGTCAAGTGCCACCAAATATTGGTGAAGCAAAGTCATTGGCACAACTTCTTCTAGGAAACAATCAGTTTTCCGGTGAATTGCCGGAGGAAATAACCAAGGTTACATCTCTGGTGGAAATTGAGTTGCTTTCGAATCAGTTTTCTGGTAAAATTCCATCAAGAATTGGTGAGTTGAAGAAGCTAAGCAATCTACATTTGCAAGATAACATCTTTTCCGGTGCTATTCCGGAGTCTTTGGGTTCATGTACCTCTCTTGATGAGATAAACCTTGCCGGAAATTCACTATCCGATCAAATTCCGGCGAGCCTTGGTTCTTTACCGAGCTTGAACTCTTTAAACCTATCGACTAACAAACTTTCTGGTGAAATTCCGGCGAGTTTGTCATCGTTGAAATTGAGCCTTATTGACTTGTCAAACAACATGTTGATTGGGCGTGTACCGCAGCCTCTCATATTAATGGCTTACAGTGACAGCTTCGCCGGAAATCCAGGGTTATGTGCCGATGGACGTAAAGATCTCCGGCCATGTTCACCGGTTTCTCACAAATCCGGCCAATTAAAAGTTGCAGTATATTGCTTCATTGCTGGTGCTGTTGTGTTACTGTTGTCGTTATCAGGTTTTCTCATCGTAAAGTTACGGCAAAACGACGACAAAAGTCCGATGAATCGGGGGTTTTCATGGGATGTAAAACAATTTCATGTTCTAAAGATTAGTGAAGATGAGGTAATAAGATCCCTAAAACAAGAAAATATAATCGGAAAAGGCGGCTCCGGCAACGTCTATAAAGTCGTTCTGAGATGCGGGGAACAACTAGCCGTGAAACACATGTGGAAGTCCGAACCCGATTCCGGTAGTTGGAGGAGTAGCCGGAGTAGCGCTGCAATTTTACCGAAAGGGAAAAGCCAGTGGCGGGAGTATGAAGCCGAGGTGGCCGCTTTGAGTTCACTTCGGCACATGAACGTGGTCAAATTGTATTGTAGCATCACGAGTGAGGACTCGAATCTATTGGTATACGAGTATATGCCAAACGGGAGCTTGTGGGACCGGCTACATACGTATCAGAAGATCGAGATGGATTGGAATGTTAGGTATGATATCGCCGTGGGGGCGGCAAGGGGGTTGGAGTATCTACATCACGCTTGCGATAGACCAGTGATACATCGCGACGTGAAGTCGAGCAATATTTTGTTGGATGAAGAGATGAAGCCAAAAATATCCGATTTTGGTCTAGCCAAGATCGTGCAAACAGGAAAGGCCATGGATTCGAGCCATGTCATTGCGGGAACATATGGTTACATCGCTCCTGGTAAATTTTATACCATTTCTTTTTATCACCAAATCAATTAATCGGTTTAACCAAAAGGGGTGGTGTCCTGATTGGTTTGAGTTTGGCTCCAAAGGTCAGAAATACCTAGAGATCCCAGGTTCAAATCCAAGGAGGAATAAAAATCTCCTTGTGGCCACGTAAGTTCAAATGCGGTGACTCCGGACTATCTGCAAAGCAGGTGGTCGTCCTGGGATTAGTCAGCTCGCATAACGGGTTGGATATTCAGGTTAATCAAAAAAAAAATTAATCGGTTTGTTTTAACATTATTCCAATTTCTTTTACAGAATACGGATACACATATAATGTAACGGAGAAAAGTGACGTGTATAGTTTTGGGGTTGTGCTGATGGAGTTGGTAACGGGAAAAAAGCCCGTGGAAGCCGAGTTTGGCGAAAACAAGGACATAGTTCAATGGGTTCATAGCAAAATGAGAAGCAAAGAGGATGCGATGGCGTTGGTGGATTGTAGCATCACGAAGGACGCACAAGAGGAGGCGGTTGAGGTGTTGAGCATTGCGGTCCATTGCACGATGAAGGTTCCGGCGTTGAGGCCCTCGATGAGGATGGTGGTGAAAATGTTGGAAGAAATCGAGCCTAAGTCGCTTGCCGAGATAGTAATCGATAAAAAGGGCGAAAACGGAAATTCATATGGTAAAAGCTGATATTTTTTTTTGTGAAGGAATGAGGTGAGGAAAATGTTGAAACGATGATCGTAAAAGTATAATCATCGTTACGTTTTTGTAGTTGTATATTTAAGTTATGTAATTATTGTTTCCGTTGTATCATACGTTAAAAGATTACGTACTTCTACAAAATAATGTACGACTTTCAATAAGTGTAATTTTGCTATGAGGTTTAGTGGAATCTTTAAAGGGACCTTAACTTCGATAAGTTCAGTAATAATCTTTATGATTCATTTTGCTATGAAAATGGTCTCTGATCACTAACGTCGTTACGATCCCTGTTGGAGCGAGGGCGATTTAGTCTTTTTAATTTGTTTTTTCAAATACCATTACTATAATATATAATCTATATATTGTTTTTAAATTATATATTATGGTAGAGTATTTTATTGAATGCAATCATACATTCTTTGAAACTATAATAATAATAATAATAATAATAATAATAATAATAATAATACAAGTTTTTCTTGGTAGAGTCCGTTTGCATGGTCTTTTCTCTCTTTTCAAATGTGGTTTGAATCCCATTTGTATTATTTTCTTAATTTTTAACTTTCAGTTTTAAATTTATTGTCTTTCTGATTTTTTTTTAGAATAAAAGACTTGAACATAAAACCTCACGTAAAAATAACTAAGAATACGATGTTTGGATGATTAGACTCCTGAATGCCAAAAAGTCAAACAAATAATCAAAATGTTGGGATGTTTTAGGCCCATAATGGGTCAAATCATGTGATTGCATGCAAGATTTGGCCACTTTTGACTTTCATTTTCTTGCTACTTTTTTCAACACAAGTTTGGTGAGAACTTAGCATATAGCTTAAATCCAAATGGGTATTTTAGTAAATTCAAACCCTTAACTAGCTTTCAATCGAAATGTCAAAATCAACATGACTTCTAATTTCTAAAGGGGATGTATCATACAATTGAAATGACATGAAGCATAGAATCCTACAAATGTATCCTTTAAATGATAAAGACATCTGTAAAAATACAGAAAAATCATTATAAAATTATATCAACATTATATTCACAAGTCAGCTCACGAAATACCGTTAGACTTTTTTTGACAAGATCCAGATGTAAATACAAATTGTAGTTCACGTGTTGCTTGAGTAAATGTTGATGCGTATAGTTTATGATTTGGTTGAGTAAATCTTTTAAGGGTTCAAAGTGTAACTTATATCCATCAATATCTAGGGATTGTTTGTTTACTCTTAATGATGCCATTAAAAAGGTAAAACTCTGAATCAGTCAGATAAAAGGTTGTTTGACATGTACTTTCAAAGGTCTAAACGGTTCATTATTGTATGATTCGCTCCACCCCACATCCCATTCAGACTACCCTTTCTTTCAAACGATGCTTCATTCTCAATCTCACCATCGATCTCCTCCGTTTCTTCATGTTCAATCACGCACCAGAGACGGGGACGGGGACGGGGGCACCATCAATCTCGATTTCCTCTCACTCTTCACCCCCCCTGCCATTGCCGATTGAAAGAGATACGACTATTTTTCTTCAAATTGGTACCTGTGATTTTACTATTGTTCAAATTGGTACCTCCCAACTGAAAGACGTAAAACCATAATAAAAATTATGTGATTTGAAGATGATGGATATGTTTGTATACAACACATCGTTAATTGTATAAAAGTTAATAGAACTGAAATGGTATAAACACGTTGTATGCAACATTCATTTGAATGATATGTGATTTTAATTTTGAAGGAGAGGATTGTTGAGGCAATGTGTAGGATCCAACAACCAACACGTTTAATCTAACTAATGAACCATGACAAATAGAAATTAAGGTATCTTTATAATTTCATCAGTTAGATTCAACGTGTAGGTTGTTGGGTCATTCACGTTACCTATTTTGTTTTTCAGTCTCGTCCATGTATTGTATTTCACTTTTGAATAATCATAATGGTTTTTCTTTTGTTTTTGATCTGCTATGAAGTTATGTTTGTTTTCAAGCGTCTACACAACATTCGTCCATGTATAAAACGACCTCAAGTATACATGCTTCTAAGAGTTCGCACCACATACTCTTTTTTCTAGTTTATTCTATGTCTTTTTGGTTGATGAACCCTCACCAATAATGTCAATACCTTACAAATGACAACATATAGCAAAGCAAGATTGAAATCCTAACAAATGACAGCATACAACAAATCTCTTATAAGGAGAAAGGATCGTGTAAGAAGGAGAGTTAAGGTAAGAAGCGTAAGAAGGGATCTGCACCTTTAGGGGGCGTTTGGTTCGTCGGAATCCGCCGGAATATGATGGAATTGGAATGGTCAATTCCGTTGACCAAATTCCATTCCGACGTTTGGTTACCCTTGGAATGGAATTGATGGAATTAAAATCCAGCATTTGAAGGAATTAGCCATTCCTTAGGAGAAGTGATGGAATTAAAATCTATTCCATCCCAAATTATGTAAAGGAAACACATGAATGATTCTCTGCATGAGACAATCAATAATGCAACATTTATGCTTGGTGACAAATTTATGAAATCATCGGCATCGTTGATGGAAGTTGAAGTTGAAATGCTAAAAAAAACTTCCATGATCGCCGATAAGATTGAGAAGTTCGGGACATTCTCGGAAACTGAAATGTTTTGTGCATTGTGAAAGATAACAAAGGACTCTGAATCTGTGATCATTTTCTGGAGCTTGAAGGAGGAAAGACGTGAAAACTGGGTCCGTTTCATGTTGGACCAATGATCAAACAATATCTTTTGGTTACATTAGACCAATGATCAATTGGTGGATCAAACATTATTTTTTGGTTATGTTAGACCAATGATCAGTCTATATTGCTTGGACGATATTTTTGTTACATATTGCTTGGACAATATTTTTGTATTACCTATTGCTTGGATGCTATGTGTAAACACTTATTGGTAACAATATTTATATATGTGTATTTGATGTGTCAACTTGTATGAACGGTTTGGTTTATAGTTGGTTGAATTTTTTTCACGTTTTATATTTATATACGATTCACTAAAAGGTAAACATTTTTTCCTCATTAAATGTTAAATTTATTATTATTTGTAACTAAAAAAATTTATTTTTTTAAAAAAAATATCAAAGGAAGGGTATTTTTTGTCTTTTTTTCATCATTTCATTCCAATTATGTTGCAAATCACACACAGAGATTCCAATTCATTAGACAGATTAAATTTCATTCCTACCAACCAAACACTTGGTCAAACCTGATAACATTTCATTCCAATTCCTTTGACAGATTTCATTCCTTCAGAAATCATTCTACGAACCAAACGCCCCCTTAATTTCAAACTCACCCATGAATCTTGTTTGATACGGGGATTAATTCGGTACATCTCATCCTAATGTGGATCCAAAGGTGAAGATCCCTTCTTACACTTCTCACCTTAACTCATCTTCTTACCGGAACCCAATCCTCTGTTATAATTCCCTAATAAATATTACATATTTGTTATGCCACACAATTTGAAAAAAAGAACATTGCATTCAATAATGGTATCATTCCAACAACACATATCCACCTTAAACTTTGGTTCAACCTTAAAATGTCATCCAAAAAATGAACAAAATCAAAAGCTATCAAAAACTTTCTATCATCAATTATGAATAAACTTTGGAAGTGTCATTATTCAATAGATACAAAGAAGCACTTACAGGACAAGCAGGCCATAGACAATCATGCAGTTGCATACAGTCGGTTCCATCAATCATGAGTTATGCTGATTCAATTTGAAGCAAGATTTCTGCAAGAAACTGGAAATGAGGATTCAAGTGTAGAGCAAAAATGAAGTTTCAGTAAAAAAATGATACTCCAGCTAATTATGATGTTACTTGCCTTCCTGAAATCTTTCAGATCAGGCGTACGAAGCAAATTACTATATGATACAGTAAATATTTTTCAGTTGTTAAAAGAGTACTCTTCTCTCCAATGAAAATTGCAACACTTACTATTCTTTTTTTGGTAATGATGGGTGTCCGGGCCAGTTTGCGTGCACCTTGAATTATCTTATGGGGTCTTGGAATTAACAGCCAAACAAACCCTCCGGTGACATGACGAGACTTCAACTGGTGACTTCTGGGGAGCAAATCCTACCGGTTAAGCTACCCCTCAAAATTAACACCGTCTACTTTTCCGTTGTCAAATGGTATTTTATAATGTTTGATTATGTCCATAGTCAATAGTTGACATTTTTATGGGACAGATGGAGCAGAAAGACATATAAACCTTTTGAGGGGTGATAAAAGATCACCAAAATTAAAGAACTTGCAACTCCATGTAATTTCTTACCATATATATCAACAGTAGCATGGTTACATTAACTTTGTTCATCAGTGCCCTTATCATTTCTCTGTTAAACAAAAATAATGCATAAGCTCAATTTATAATGATTTGGTGTAAATATCATTTAGCTCCTTAATTGATACTTTCATGGAGAAGAATTCACTTGGATGTGACGTCCCCTAAATGTTGCATCTTTTGCAGGCATCTTTTTTGTTTTTGGGTTTGTAAGACATCAGCCCTGATAAAAATCAGTGGCCACATCAGGGGAAGATATTTCCACCACATCCCCTGGGCCTCAACCACTACACCACAACCCTTGTGGTTAACGCACAAATTCCTTACCAAAACAGATTCCTCACATTTCACCACTGCAGGATCAGCACCAGTAGCAGTAAGATCATCTTTCATGTTCTTCTCCAGTGTTTGAACAATTAACCTACATGATTTCAGAAGTTATATGTTAGAAAGTTAAAATGAAGGGATAATGCAATTACTTATAAAGAAATGCAAAAGAAGCTGAGTAGACATTGTTTTTTATAGGTTGTGCTGGCCGCGGCTAAGAACCTTTATACAGAGCTAATTTTCTGAATGCAATTTACCAGAGATAAATATGAGCATTTCGAATGGTCTAAAATTGCAGAAGTAAAAGTTCACATGATTTGAATATGTAGATTTTTAACATTCTCTAACATATCTTGGAATTTAAAGCATTTTCTTTATCATTGGTAATTTGGTATCCATTTGTCCAATTTCTCTTGTTCTCATTGCCATATCAGCAAATAATACTGACTTGTATGCCATATTATTCGTCATATTAGTATGGTAACCTGTTAATGATTAATTTGGTCACCCAAACACTTAAATGTTTGAAAGTTTCCATCTTATGTACCAAAATGAGTTTCGAAAGTACTTTATCCAAAATAAGAATTAGAACAAATTAAATTACATTTTCATGCAATTCGCCTTTTATCTTGAGCCTCTTTATACCTTCACAAATCATCGTTACAGGGGTATGCAATTCAACTGCTCTTTTAAGATTGGTGGCAATTTAAGATAATTCTGGGCTAAAATTTTGGCAAACTACCAAGATTTGACTTCTTAATTAGAGCATCCAAAATAGAGTAACACACAAAAACCTCCCTTTCCATCTTTTTCCTACCACACCACTTCAATAGAATTAGAATAAGATAGAAATTGAGGTTCTTGTAGCTTCCTCCTTGTGGATGCTCTTAAACAAGAACCGGGTTCTTATTAGAACCCGTGACCAGACAAGGACCTCTATCGCATATACGAGGTTCTTATGAAAACCCCAACAAGAGCCTCCATCGTGGTGGATGTTTTTAATCCTTTAAAGTAGGGTTTGTTGAGCTTAAGAAGCACGCATCAAAGGAAAAGCTTATGGTGACTAATTTCATTGGATGCTTTTCTCAAACACATAAATGAGATATCATCTCCAATTTATATCAAATGATATCAGCTAAATCATTATAATAATGGAATACATCAAAACAGGTTCAGATCATTGGGGAACACATGAACTAAGGACAAATCAGTTAACCTAAATTGACAGTAATGCAGGTAAGTTCTATCTTCAAAAGTGAAGATTCAAATTCATGGATCAAATTACCAACACGTGAAGAAGGGAATTACGAAGTCACATACTGACCTGGGAGCGGAACCTAACGATCATCAGTGCGAGAGGGGTTAGGTTTCGCGAAATCGACGAACTTAGGCGCTTCAATTCTCTCGTAAATCTTCTCCTCTTTCCTCCCCTTTGTTAATAATTTCAACTTCTGATTCTGTTTCCGCTTTGTTGTTGATATCCGTGGTGGTAGTTGTAAGCTGTAAAAACAACTTATCACGGGTAACAAAGGGATATTCGGGATTGCTTACAAAGATAACTTATTGATTTATTTTCGTGTGACATCGGTAATAACTATTTTTGGATAAACATTTTCGGTAATAACTATTTTCGTGTGACATCGGTAATAACTATTTTTGAGTGTTTGGATAAACAGTTTATACCAGTGCCAAACCGGTAATAAAGAGTTTTTGAAAAAGTTAAACAATTTTTACTTATAATAAGTTGATAAAGACTTTTGCAGAAAAATATAAGTTGTTTTAAATAAGCAATCCCAAATATGCTTTAAGTACTTGTTTGCATAAATAACATATATCGGTGTCAAACTATTAATAAAAAGTTTTTAAAGAGGTTAAAGTCTTCTTGACTTACAATAAGTTGATAAGTGTTTTTATAAAAAAGTCTAAGTTGTTTCAAATAAGCAAATCCCAAACACCCCCTAAGTTCATGTTCAGTTTGGTTGATAAACTTCGTAATGAAATTGTGAAAAGAATTGAAATTTGTTTTTTTGGTTCATTGAATTGAAATATTTGGTAGATGATTAAAATAGAAAGCTTTTATAAATTTGAAAAAAAATCTAGAACGATGGTTTAGATTGGTGGTTTATATCAACGGTGGTTCGCTGTGATTCAGAAAGGTGGTGGTTTGGAACGGCGATTCAGATCGGTGGTAGTTGACGGTGGTTTAGAATGGTGGTTCAGATCGGTGGTGGTTCAGAATGATGGTTCCATTTGGCGGTGGCTGGCCAAAAGTACAATAATCATGTAAGGTCCCGTTTGGTTTGTAGAAATGAAATAGATTTTGGGTGATTTGGAATTCAAACTCATTTCAATCTCATGTTTTGTTTGTTGGATTATCCAGTTTTGAAATACTAAAATTTAGTTGAAATCCTACAAACATATGATTTTGAAATCCTTAGGGAATGCTCGGGTTTCACGAGATTTTGTAGAATTTTATGCAATAAGATTTTAAAAAACTTGTTTCGTAATAATCGATTAATAAAAATATAATTTTATTATTTTTATAATCTTCTATAAATAATAGAATCGAATTCCATTTTAAATTTTACAAACCACACAACCAATGATTTCAAATCCATTCTAATACAAATCCCTCTGTAAAATCCAAATCCTTAAAAAATAATCATACAAACCAAACGGACCCTAAGTGCGATGATGATTGTACTTTCTTTTACATTATAGATGGTCGACGATGGTTCAAATCGACGGTGGTTTATATTTGTGGTGGTCAGCAGTAATTCAGATCAAGCAGGGAAAATGAATTTTTTTTTTTTTTTGAGATAATGGTATGAAATGGGATTAAATTCTTTCTCAATTGTGATAAAATGACAAAATCCATAAACAACAGAATGTGTAGAATTTAATTCCATTTCATAGATTAACCAAATATCTGAATGAAATTTGATTAGTAAAATTATATCATTCCAATTCCATCATTCCATCGGTAAATAATCTCAGGGGTGATTCCAGGATCGCCCTAGACTATTTACCATACTTTTAACGGATTTAGTAATGACTGGGTAGCTGACCCTGTTAGTCCGTTCTTGCAAGAGGGGTCTATGTTAACTAATATTTTCTCCACTTAATGGATCACCATTTGCTACCAATGGAAAATGGTTTCTCATCTTGAATTGAGGTGCGTGGATTTACACCAATAGAAACCATAAATTTCATATACAACATATAAAAAATGTTTACATTGTGAAACATATATATTGATTAAGACACACACACACAATATGAGGACACTTGTGGGCCTCAAACCTTTTTACGAGAACCCCTATAATTTACGAGAATATGTGTGGGAGTTCAAACGAGAACCCCTATAATTTATGAGAATATGAGGACACTTGTGGGCCTCAAACCTTTTTAACCAATAATTTAAGTTATATTAAATAAAAATAAATCATTAAGGGTAATAATGTAATTAGGTATTTTTTTTATAATTTTTTATCTTATTTTAATTAATTGAAATTATCCTATCATTTTAGCTTGCGATTGATCATGTTGCGTAGAACGTCTATCGTTTTCTTCCCATCTTTTTCTCCTCATCGTATCTGAAGTTTCGAGATCTTTTGATACAACAGTGTAACAATCGTGAACCTAATCGATTAAAACCACCAAATGTTCCATCACATTCATTTTGTATCCATTGGATATGATAACAGTGTGATAATCGTGAACCTAACAGTGTCATAATCATTTTCTTCCCATCTTTTCTCCCCATTGTATCTGAAGTTTTGAGATCTCTTGATACAACGGTGTGACAATCGTGAACCTAATCGATTAAAACCACCAAATTTTCCATCACATTCATTTTGTATCCATTGGGTATGATAACAGTCTCATAATTGTGAACCTAATCGATTCAACCACCAAAATTTCCATCAAAGTCATTTTGTATTTATTGGGTATGATAACAGTGTGGTAATCGTAAACTTAATCGATACAACTACCAAATTTCCCATCACAGTCATTTTGTATCCATTAGGTATGATAACAATGTCATAATCGTGTGATAATCATGAACCTAATCGATACAATCACCAAATTTTCTATCATAGTCATTTTGTATCCATTAGGTATAATAACAATGTGATAATCGATAGGGTTGTGATACCAAACAAAGTGCAGTCGTATTAGGTGATAATCGTGTGATTGCCTATACACGATTGGGCTATGATAATCGTGTGATCGTGGAACCTAACTAAACCAAAAATATTGTAGTCGGACCCAAGTACGAATCATATCTTGTGAAAATCATGTGCTACTCGATTCGTCTTTGGGTTAACGTATCACATGATTATCACATCCAAATACGAATCAAGTAGATATGTTAACCCTAGTCAAACCGATAGATTATATTTGGATTTCTTGTGATAATCGTGTGATACTCATACCCTAATCGAACCAAAGAATCTTCATATCGAGTGACTATAAGTGATTCATGTTCTAAGTGTGATACATTTGTAATAAACAAACCTTGAATCAATTGTCTCTGCAAACTTCTCCCTCAAGCTTCTTGCTGTTCATTTTTTCCTCATATTTTCTTAAAACTTATGACACCATATCCCATGATGTTATCACCTAGATGATCAGAGTCTTTTATGATCATTTTTATTAAATATTATCACTTCGAATTCCAAGATTACCCTTTTGCCTCTCAAAACTTTTTGAATTGCTTTTAATATTAATTTAAATTTAAAAAATCCTTTAATTTTGATTGTTATCACATTACTTGGTTGGTAGTCTGTTCTTGCATTCTCATAAATCACAGAGGTTCTCGTTTGAACCTTTCCCTATATATACACACACACATGGGGGCCTACTCAAATGAAAACTGTTTTGTTTGTGGTAACCATAAGATACAATCCTAGCCACAAATCAAATGTTAAATTAAGAAATTAATAATTTTGGTAATTTTAACTTAAAATATTAATTATGGGCATTTCAGGGATTTTATAAATATCATCACCCATCTATCCTCTTTCCTCTCTCCGACGAATCTTATTCGGCGAACCTTATTCCGATGAACCTTATGTGAACACAAGATACACACTGTGATACCTAAAAACGATATTCACTGTGATACCCATATATATATACAAGATGCATAATGTATAGTGATACCTTTTTGTAAATCAATGAAAATAACGAAAATGCAAACTACAATACATTTCATAAAACAAAGAAAATACATTGTGATACACGTGAAACATTGTGAACATTATCACTATGACACACTTTGATTCACAAAATGTCTTTAAAATACAATGTATAATAAGTAATTGATATTCTAGGTAACTAATTTTAATTAAATATTTCCTTCTAAAAAATATAATTATACCCTTTTATCTTATTAAGAAATATTCGTAAATATCTCAAACGAATGATTCACATTGGATCTCACAGTTGCTACAAACTAATCAGTTCTCCCTTGAATGGACCCCTACATATGTGTGTGTGTATATATATATATATATATGTGTGTGTGTGTGTGTGTGTATACGAAGGATCATGTGAAAAATAGAGTTAAGGTGAGAAACGTAATCTAGACCCTTGATCATATTTAATCTCAAACTCACCTATGAATCACACTTGATACAGGGATTGATCTGATGCATCTCATCGTAATGTGTATCCAAAGGTGAACATCTTTCTTATGCTTCTCACCTGAACCCAACTCTCTCTCTCTCTCTCTCTCTCTCTCTATATATATATATATATGTGTGTGTGTGTGTGTGTGTGTGTATGTGTGTGTGTAGAAGAAGGATTGTGTGGGAAAAAAAAGTTAATCTGAGAAACGTAAAAAATGATTTCTACCTTTGATTTCTACCAAGATACTTTTGACATTTTCACTCATGCCTTCACCCTCTCATACCTCTATGTCTTCTCCCCATCTCCTAAGGTGAGATTCAAATTGGAATTCTTTATGAGTTATTAAAAGTCTTTCATTCATCTTTCATTTAATTGCTCTAGAACTCTCGGTCTCGGTCTCGATCTCTTGATTCTTTGCTCTTTGTGTAAATCGAATACATTTGTGGAGTCGTTTAAATATGTTGGATTTTAAATATATCGGATTTTAAACAGTCACACAAATTTTTTCATCGATACTCTGTAATTGGAACCATAAATCTTATTTATTAAAATTGTATTAATATGTAAAGACCAAGTGCAACTTATATCAACGTTAAATATTCTTTAATAAAACCAGTGAAATTTTAAAATCGTTAAAATTCACGCCGCATTGCAACGGGTATACGACTAGTATCTTTATAAACATAAAATCTTACTAAATATTCACCATAGAATTATGATTTACATCTCAATTATAAAGTTGAGAAATCAAACGATTTAATTGTGATTCATGCTTTCTACTATTCTTTATCTCTGAAATATAATTGATATGGTTTTGTATAATTTGAAAACGAGTTAAAAATTTAAATAAAATAAAATACCTATTTTATTAATGTAATTAGTTTAATTAAATATTAATTATATTTAAAATTACTTGTATTTAAAAAAATGAAATAAAAATTTATAGAGATCAGTGAATTTTATAATAAATAATTTATAATACTGAATTTTAAGATTATTAAAATTTATAAATACCTGATAATAAATTATTTTCAAAATATTTTATAATATAATATTGAATTATTAATAATTAATTATTTGTACAAGTGAAATTTGCTACATGTGTTCACAAACTTCCGGAAGTGGTGGAAGCTAAACAGCCTTACAAAATGCTTCTCCCAGGTTCTCCCTACATCCGATATTCACCGGTGCACCACCGTCACCGGCAACTACTACTCGTCACCAACACCCTTAAAAAACCCATCGCTCCACCACTCGCCGCCCGACGGTTTCACTTTCACGGAGTAGCCACCAGCATCTTCATGGCCACCGCTGCAGCTGCCGTAGTGATATTATCAAGCTCCATGTCGGCAATCGCAATCGAACCCAGAAACCCACCGCCAGACGCCGCCGAGACCCTTTCAAACATACCGCAAACTCTGTCCGGCGATTGCGTTCAGGGGCAAGATGGGGATTGCAAGAAGGCTAGGATCCAAAAACCCAAATCGAGGAAAGCGGAATTGTGCACGATAAAGTGCGTAACCACTTGTATCCGCGGCGGAGATGGGTCGCCTGGCGAAGGACCGATCAATGTTCGGCGACCTCTTGTTGTTTTCAAGCAAGGGTTTCGGACCCGCCATTATTGCTTGGTGGAGTGCTCCGATATCTGCAATTTGATTCGAGATGGAGACGATGGACCTTAAAGTAATCTCTGCAATATTTTTCTTCGATTTCTTGAGTTTGATAGCTTTGTAATACCAATTTTATGATCAATTGAACAAAGTTTACAGAGGTTTGTGGATATCTATTGGACGGAAAACCATTAGAAGCAAAAATTGTCGGCCTTTTGGAAGTTGCTGAATGATTTGGTGTCGTCAGAATGATTAAGAGACTCATGGTACAGTGCAAAATGAAAACTAATTGTTTGGTAATGGTTTACAATAAAATTAGGGTACTTAATAGTCAAGGGAGGCTCATGATACAAAATATTTCAGAGGGTTTTAGAACTATTATGAGACAGATTTTGTTTTTGCCAAAAAAGATTCATCTCTTAACGATTCAAAGACGGCCTCTTAATGGAACTATTAAGAGGTAAACAAACAACCCCTTAATCATGTTTTGTTGTGGTTCATGTGTCGACACCAAACATTAGACAATAAGCTGTTTTGTCCCGAGTACCAGATGTATTCTTAAAGAAATTTTGGTATCGACACCTTTTGAACTCATTAGCGACATGGTTCACGTCAAACTTTCCACTTTGGGTTTTCTTGATCCAATGGTTGATGAAAAACACCATCTCTACTTGAACACGATAAATTTTCACCAAATGGATTGTCGGTAGTCGGAGCTCCGACTACCATGAGAATGGATTGCAGCCAAGATAGACAACATACGTGTAGTTGAAACTTGAAAAATACTCGTCCTTGCCCAATCGGTGTTTGGTAAGGAGGATGAAGTGATGGAGTTGAATTGCTCTGTACGAGGATACTTTTACGGAGACGTATCATAAGATCAAACGTTTTCTTTTTGAAGTATATATAATATGTAAGATCAAATGTTTGAGAGTCGTTATACGCTCATTCGTGGGACGATCCATATATCTATACTATATTATAAGACATTTGAAAAAAACTCTTAAATACCATTTTTATACATAAAGTGCTATTTATTGATGTATATTACTCAAAATTCAAGATTATATAATGCATAAGTACAACTTATTAAAGTTTTATGTTTAAATTCGTGTAACTAAATGTAGATAAATATAATCCAATATTTGATAAACATTTTATTTTAAATACAAAAAATCTAAAATGTAATGTTCTAATAGAATGCTTGATTATTATATTTTTTAAAAAATATTTTATTAAATCAAAAATAAATTACCTCATTATTAAACCTAAATTAAATTGTAATAAAAATTTGAATTAAAAAAACTACACAACAAAACAAGAACTTTTAAATTGTCAATTTGATACTAATATCGATATATTATTTTGAAAATTATAAGATATTTTCAAATATATATTTTATTCAAAAATAAAAATATTATCGTTTTTTTTTCTCCACAAAACCACATAAAACCGTATTATAACATCGAAATGAGACAGAATAAGACAAACATTAAAATCGAGATATATCTCGTTGTATTGTATGAGTACCATTATAGTAATAATAACCTGTTAACACTAAAACGAACATTGAGTTGTGTTATTGATATATATATATATATATATATATATATATATATGGAAAAGTTCAAACGAGAACATATTCATTGCAGCCAAGTCGTCCTTACACCACTAAGCTCACTCACAAATAATATTACATGTGATAAAGTTGTTGTTGATATATGATACCATAATCCATCAATACCATCACATGTGATGTTAAATCATAGATGCATACAACCTATGGTGCGGCTTAAGTCGTAAAACATGTTGTGCGCGCATCACAGGATCCCCTCACGCGTATTATCACATATGATAAGGGTGTTATCGTAAAATGGAGGTGTTCTCGTTTGAACATCCACCTATACATATACATACATACATACATACATACATACATACATACATATATATATATATATATATATATATATAGGAGCGATCAAATGAAAACCACCCTAATTTGTAAAAACCGTACAAACCACCCTCATACGTCGATTTCATTGTTTAATCTTATGAATTTTTTTCATTAAATTGTTTCACGGTTTTTACAAATTGAGTGGTTTTTATTTGAACGTTCCCCTATATATATATATAAGGTTGGGTTCACGTAAGACCAAAGGTTTTTTGTGAGACTCGTAAGACCAATTTATATTCATTGATCAACTTTATAAGTTAATGATCTAATGGTCTAAAGTTGCACGGTGACAATTTTGTGATTATTGAGAAGTCTCGTGGCAATTTTGTGATTATGAATATTCAGATTGTAGATTTAATCCAAGGGTTGAAAATTGGTCTTACGGGTCTCTCGAAAAACTCTTGGTCTCGCATGATACCAAGTCTATATATATATATATATATATATATATATACTAGAAAGGTACCCGAGCAATGCTGCGAGATATATCTAGATTTTAATGTTTCGTTTTATTCCGTCTATGTAGATGTTATAATATTGTTTTTATGTGGTTTTGAGAAATGAATAATGTTTTTATTTTTGAATAAAAATAAATTTGAAGATATCATAAAATTTCGAAAATAAATATATCAATATTAGTATCAAATTAACTATTTAAAA